GTGAGTTTTATTAACTATGTTATGAACATAGTGATCCTGCAGTGGGATCTTAGATTACTGGGTAATCCCCCCCCCCAAAAAAACGTAATAGGCCCAATAAAGTTACCAATACAGAAATAATAAGTACAAGCTAAATTTGTAATACAATTTACAGTATGTATGAATGAAGTAAGTATACTTTTCGTTAGATATCATAAAGTGAATTAAGTTAACATGAAATCAAATTTAATTCTTTGTAGAAGAACATACAACTTTGAGCTCTTTATGGATTCAATTGAAGGAAAAAGAACTCTTAAGTTGTTGTATGTCACTCAGTATTGTACTGAAAGATATCAGTTCTAGATAAAGTAGGGAAAAAGATTCTAGAATATTTTTGACACATTATACTTATGACACTGAAATCGAAATTAAAAAAGTATGTAATAAAGTAAAAGGAAAGAAAATGCAGATATTTTGAAAGATAATGAAAATATTGCGACTTATGGAAAAATGGCTTGTTTATGTAAAGGTGTTGAGAGTTTTTAATATATGTGTAGGCACATGCATCAAATTTCAACCAATAAATAAAGCTGAGCAATAACACTCTGAAGGTTTTCTATCTTAATATATAATTAGAAAAAAACTTGAATAAAAATTATTTACCTAATTAACCATACTTTTCTACAAATGAATTTTTCTATACCTAGTTATTATTATTATTATCAGATTTAGCCATACGGCTCACACTCCCTCTAAGGGGAAAATTCACTCATCCCAGATACCTACGGTATCAAAAGGATTGAGCTCTGGTGGGACTCTTGTAGTGTTATAGAGTCCTAGGTGACTTGATATGCTGGAGTATCTCCCAGAAATTTTCGTACACATCTGGACGTTGTTATTATTATTATTATATATATATTATATTAGTATTAAACTGAAATTATATTATACTAAGGTGTGCTTTTTGTTTAATTAATATTTTCACTATACATCATTTTTATTTGTCACATCTGTTTATTGTATTAGTTTAATGTATGTAATATTTTTAAAGCTCCCTTTATATTCCACAATTTGAAATGAATTATTTAGATAAACATTCAGCATTGTACATAAAAGATTCCAAATAGTTTAATATATAAATTACCAACAACCATAATTTAGATTACTGAAATATACTGAAATAACTAGCTTATTAATATTTAAAACTTGGAAAATTACCTTAAATGTGACTGCATTTTACTACAAAAAAGAATTAGTTAAATTTAGGTATACCTCACTTTGCTTATCTTTGCTGTCAGGCAAAATTAAATACATCTTTATTATATTATAATAATGTAATTAATACAAATAATTATTATTTATATTAATATCAGACACTACTGTACAATTTGTTAAGTGGACATAATATGCAATTTTAGGTAGATATTTAGTTTAATAACAAGACTCAAGTTGCAAGGTAACTACACACAGGAAAGAGGATGTGGTCCCTTTAATATGCATAAATGCGGGGAAAGGTATAACTGTGTCGTGGCTTAAATAGACTTGTTACATTGCTCTCGACTTTCTTATTTCTACTATGCAAAATAATAAAAATAATAGGTTTGGTCTTTTTTTACGCTAAAAACGAAATGTCAATCAAAACACAAATGTCACAGGTCAGTTAGGTTAAAAATATATTATAAATTATTATATTCTCAGTTAAAATATGTTTTTAACACACGAATAAATAAATATTTAAACTGTTATGTAAAATAAAATAAGGACATTTCTAAATAAACTGGTTAAAAAAACAAAAATAAGGCAAGATTAACCTATATATAAACACTCCTCTAAATGGTCTTGCTACTATCAAAAACACACATCTTTAAATAGGAACTAATTGTAAACAAAAACTCTTATCACTATCACCTTTTGATTGATTTTAATGGTGCTTTTTATCACTTGTCTAATTAAAACCATTTCAACACACACTTACGGCAGCCATGTTTGTCTATGACTCCCCCACGGAGAATGTATAATGTGCGATGTGAATTGAATGAAAATTGAAACCTAGAAAATTATTCTAATTTATTATGTAAAATTCAAACTGGTTGGTAAAGAGTAAACAATTAAGTGCATTTCTTCGTTGTTACCGTTATTAAAAGCATGGAAAGAATTGGAAATAGTGTATTTTATCACCGATTTAGGAATAATCTTAAAAGTTAAAAGAAAAAATATTTTAAAGCTTTTACAATTGTTTATTTTTTACATAAAAATATTAATATAATTCATTTTAATAATACAAATTAATAAAGCTACATTTAAATATTGCCCCTGTCTAATCTAACAAAAAAGAAAAGAAATAAAATATGAAAATACACAATTGAAACTTTTGGAAACTACTAAATTCCTAAATTTTTTTTTTGAGTATATATTTGGCTGTAATTTAAACTAATTTTACTTAATTTTTAATTTATCTACAAAAACAAATTATCATTTTTGAAAAATTAATTCTAATATAAATTCTTTAACGTAACGCCTATGGGAAAAAACGTGTGCTAAAAGTACACTGGAGTGTTACATTGACGTATATCTCATAAGAAAAATGTCAAATAGTGTACTCCGAGCAAACGGAATACAGGAAAAAACGGATACAGCAATGATAAAGACAGACATTAGTAGATGGCGTATTGTATGGATGCATAACCATTTCACGAAAATAAACAACAGGGACGTACTATAAAATATGTCTTCGTATCAAATAAGCCTGTATATTTTTAACACAATATTATTTACTTAAAGGAATATGATTTCATTAATAGGAACACTTTAATACTTTGATCTTTCAATTAAATTAACCATTTAATCATCACACTATCCAGTTACTGTGATGTGAAAACAGAGTTAAAACAAACACAGAGAGCTAATAGAGCAGCAGGATGTCTGAGCAATACAATATGAAAGAACAAACAAATTGGAAGAAAAAAGAGGCGACTGGATACTAATACTAAGAGATAATGTAGACGATAGTGTAGTCAGGATATTAAGAAACAAATCGCCGTCTGGTATAAGTGTAGGCCGACCACGGAAAGGATGGGGTGACCATAAAACATGAACGCCCAATATAAGAAAACAAAAACAAACAGAATTGCCTAATAATGAGATAGAAGAAGTATAGAAAGAGTACATACCTATTTCCCCACACAATGCCGATGACGGCAGTTTTTAGCGTGCCTTGTGGATGGATGGTACATGTAATCAGTATTCTATCTCTCAGTATTTCAACCATTGTTGACCTCAACGTTCTCATTTCTGATCTTCTCGATATCCTCTTGGCTTCCGCTATGTCGGCGCTCTTGTTTTTGACTACAAGATATTCGAATCTCGAGACTTGTTCAATTAAGTATTTCACCGTTACTATTTGCATCTTCTGTGTTTCCTTGCACTACCAGTTATTTGGGTCTTAGCTGTTGATATTTTCATTCTGTAGTTCTTCGTCACTGTGTTGAATGTTTGGGGACATGCGCTGTAGGTTATCCTTATATTCGGAGATCAAGATTGTGTCGTCTGCATTTGTTTTCCTTCCATCTTATATCCTTGTCCTGTACTTTTATTCTGTTCTATGATTTTGTCCACTAAATTAAAAAGTAATGGGCTCAAGATGTCACCTTGACGAATTGTCGAGTTGATTTCTACTTCCGATATATTTTAAATCTATTTTGTCGAAAGACTTGTTGTTCTCCATTAATGGCGCATTCTTCATATTGGCAATTATTCTTGTTAAAAGATTGAGAGTTGTGTTCAGCAAGGTAATGGTAAGGTAATTGGTAGAATCTACCGTTTCCTCTCTTGTGTATTGATATTGTTAAACTCGTTCTCCACTGGTCTGGTACACACTAGCTATACAGAGTGTTACAAGATGTTTTTAATAGCTTTCAATTCAAGAAGTAAATATTTTTATTTGAAAAGTGGGAAATGTTAATTGGACCTATAATACTATTAATTGATTTATATAATGAGATAAATTTTTTGCGGTCAAATCAGTTGCTCACCATTTAGATTTCAAGATTGCAAAAAGTGTTTATGTGGCCCTGATTGAATCTAATTTGAGATACGGTATTGCCTTTTAAGGTAGCTGTTCTCTTTATCATTTCAGTAGAAATTTTATGCTACAAAAGAGGGCATTCAGATATTTATGTAAGGTCAAGTTTGGTACACCATGCAGGCCTCTGTTCCGGAAACATGGTATCTTGACACTTAAAAAAACACAAAGAAAATATTTGGACAGTTTCCCATTATAACACTCGTCTAAATTATGTTATTCCACTTCCAATTCTCTCTTCTACATTAACTAAAAAATCATTTATTTACACTGGTAAGAAAGTGTTTAGTCACCTACCACTCGATATAAGATCCTCAAGCAATATTTTTGTATTCCGAAGAGCAATCAAGAAATTTTTATTATCTAAATGTTACTATGGTATAGAGGAATTTTTTGAGGACCGTTGCGCTAATTGATATATATTTTTTAATTATGGAAATTTTATAATTAAAATTTTAATGTATCTTGTACCTTGTGTTTTATAAATGTAACTCGTTTTAAAAACAATAAACTTATCTCTCATCTCATTAATATTTTTCCATTCCATGTAACTTCTTGCGACACTCTGTATTATCTCCTGAAAAGCTTCTCTTCATTTCGATCTCTTATTTTCTCCTCTCTCCTGTTTTCTAATTTTATTCTATAGTTAGTGATAATTATCCTGTTTTACTTATGTAAGATATTCTATAAACACGCTGGATTCTTTGTCTGACCAATATTATGATTTTAAGTTGCTCTTAGTTAAGTAAGTTAATAAATTTTTATTTAAGCCATGGCTCAACTTTCACTATATAAATCATAGCATAAATTTAGAAGCCTCTTTCATAAGTTTTTAAGCCGGTTCTGAACAGAAGGTATGTGTTTGAATTATCTAACGAACAAACCAGGTTGCTAGTGATCATATTTGTTAGAACTGATTATATGATTATAATAAACGAACAGTATTATTTGTTTTCTATTTCTGGGGGCGATGATGACGAATGTTTTCGTAAATTTAATTACAAATATCTGAAAAGTACAAAGAAAAGACATAGTGATAGTGATACATTAAACCCAGTATAAATTTTTATCAAGGATAAGTGAGTCAGGCAGGCGTTTTTATAGTCTATGTTTGAATAAAATACAATAGAAGTCAATTGCTTTACTAAAAGCAAGAATAACATTTTAAAATGTTATTTGATAACATAAGGAAATGTCTTGCTGCTCAACCCAATTTAACCTATGATGAAGCATGTTTAGATATCACCAATATACTAAATGAGACTGTGCAACTTTTATATCAATATGATGAATGTTACAAATGCGACTTTCAAAATTTAGCTCTTCTTCAGCCAAGTAAATGGACTTCTGTTCTTGTCAGGACTAGCTCTCCGCTTCAAATAGATTATTATCTAAATAATAACAAGTCAAAGTGCCAGTAAGTTGTATTAAATAATTATACATTTGCATATATTATTTTGGTAGTTAAAATCTGATTTATATATACATGTAAACTTCAAATTTTCCATACTATGCGGAACTATTAATATTTTTTCTCCATCAAAATGCCATTGGTCCCTACGATCTCAAAGACGATGGGAAATTCATTTAGTTTTAGTGCATTATAAACTTAATATCTTCTGCATTGGGATTTTTGTATAGATAAGTGTTAAGTAATTCGACATTTGTGAACTGAATTTGTGCAAGGCCATAAAAGCATTAACAATATATTTGTATCAATCCCTTTTGTACAATAAGTGACTTTATACTTTATAAATTTTATCGTGGATGCCAAAATGTAGACACTTTTACTTTAAATAAAATAAGAGGATCACATTTTATTTTAACTTTCCTACTAAAAAATCAGTTGTAATTAAATAGTTTGATTTAAGTTGTTTTGATTCCAATCAAATGTATAAATACTGCTTTGTTGATATATTTTGTATTATAATATATAAATATAAATATTTGTTTAGAACTCATTATAGAGATAATAACATTGTAAAACTGTTGCAGATCCTTCAATAAAGAATATGACTGTATGATTCATAGATAACATTTTATTTTTCATCTGTTTTAGATAAAGGCATGAATCAGATGGTATTTTTTGTTTAAGAGGAGTTTTATAATTGAAATAACTTATACTTAATCAATATTTTTTAACATCATTTATTGCAAATTATTATTCAATGATTATTTAGTCCTAATATTATTTAAAAATAATTTCTTGAAGTTTGCAGTTACAGCTCTACCAGAAGACTGCTCTACTGCATGGCTGTGCCCACCCCCAAATAAAATGTTTAAATTATAAGTAATACCTATGCATAGGTATATTATAGGAATAATGCAATTTTACCTAAATGTAATAAATCCATACTCCAGAGATAAATACTAGTTAATTTTATCAATATCTATACTTTGGTTTTTAAGTGTACACAAGTCGTCTGGTATATGTCTATGGAGTGGTCCAGTAGCAGGTTAAATTAATACAAATCTAAAATCTAGGGAAAATGACAATATTTACCTGGAGATTACACCTGCATTATATGCAAACCTTGTTTTGTCAAATAATAGCTTTTTTTTAATTAATGATTTCATGTACTTCTGGTACTTGGTATATCATATTACTGTAGGATATACAGGTTTATTGAAAATATTTCATTATTATAAACAAACAATATACTATATAGGTTACTTTTTGTGTATGTACTTAGCTAATTACAAAATGTTTTTCCAGTTACCGTCAACTTCTTCAAGAACATTATCGTTATGGGCTGAATGTAACAAATAATTGTGGACCTATTTATATTAAAGACCAAGCAGACAATGCATATCTACGTAAGTGATCTAATTAATGTTTTCTTTGCAAATATTCAAACATTAATTTTTTGTAGCGATACTCATGGCATTTGTGATATTATTTTCATTTGGAACATTTTGGTATATGGTAAAATGTATTTACAAAAACAGTGGTAGAGTAAGACAACTATTAACATGGACCACAGAAATGGAGGAAGTAAGTTTTTGATTCTTTTTATTTAATTATGAGTTTGTACTGTGAGAGTTAAAAACTTAATCTAACTAATAAAATAAGTAGATCTGGAATCAGGATAACTCTGAACTGTTCTAAACGATTTTAAACAAAGTGAAGGCAAACAGTATAATCTATTTCTTGAAAACATTGAAACTGGAGGAAGATAACCCATTTATAAGATGCCACCAAATATTCTATTCAGTGGAAATTCCATGTTTTCTTTCTTTCCCAATTTAATAAAGCAGCTGAAAAAAATGTTTATGCCTACAAAGTTTATCACATGTAGTATTGTGAATATGTATAATAAATTAAGTAAGAGCAGTGTTCATATAGACTGAGAAGAAATTAATTTAGACAGTATTTGTAAACAATCCGATAATATTGTTGTGAAAGGTGGTAAATTTTATATTTAGATGAAATTTAATGGAATCAATGTCATATGTCTTCAAGGCTCATATTACTCAACGGAGCTCAACAGGTTGTATTCTTCGAATTCCCCATGAGAAATTGGAGACACATTACACTGACTGCAGTATACTCATCTAGCAAATAGACAGAAGAGGGAATGTCAAGATAGTGGGGGCAAAAATATTGTTAGAGGGTTAGATGGTAATTGAAGTTTTTTAACAATTGTGTCACATTTTAGACTATTATCGTTATTATTTAATTAAAACTGTCTCATCTAAGACTCATTCTGAAAAATATAATATAGCTACTTTAAATTTGGCGCCTTTGCATTTCCGGATATGTCCGCCATATTAGGAGGCCACTTTTATGAATTTTGGTCTCCTTTTCATAACAATTAGATTCCCTCTTTTGTCTTTGTGCTCGATGAGCATACTGCAGTCAGTGTTAACGGGTGTGGACTTAGGGGGCCGAGGACATGAAACGAGGAGTTCTGGACATCACAGATGTTGATCGCCAATTAAAACTTCTGGCCCTACGAGATAAATTCAGTAGTACTCAACCTATCGCAAATCAGTGGAATGAGATACTCCAACAGAATATTGTCACCTCATCAGAACAATGTCCAGGCGTGGAGTATATATGAAATGGTTAATTCTCAACACATTGAACCAGCTTCTGTAGTAAGGTGACAAATCAAGCTGAAAATTTAATTATTTTACTAGTAAGGGACACTGAATATGTATACTATAAGCATGGGATAAGTATATGTAGGTGTTTACATTTACATGTTTACTGTGATACAGTCTTCATTTTAATGCTTCACATTTATGATAACTTGGTTTCTATAATATGAAAACTATACTTACTATAAGAGTAAGATAAACATTTCCTGTTTTTTGATACTTATCGGTAGTTACAAATTGTTTCTATGCTCCTCTTGAATGGAAAAAATAAGTAAAAACAGTATCGCATTTTAAATCTTCAGGATTTGATTGGGTCATCAGCAGGAACGCCAGTTGTTTTCGAACGACCACCAATAGCTTTGGTCAAACATCCTAATCGCTTAAAATCTGTTGATACATTTAGAGGTTTGTGTATTGGACTCATGATATTTGTCAATTATGGAGGAGGGCAGTACTGGTTTTTTAAACACTCTGTTTGGAATGGTTTAACCATTGCTGACTTGGTATTCCCTTGGTAAGTATGTTTCTAATGCTTGTGTATAGTATTGAATAAACTTTTAAGTAGGGCAAATAAGGGATAAATGAAAGGGTTTATTTAAATATTGCTGTTCCAGTTAGATATAAATGTATTTTAATTTTTTTCAAACCTCTTTTTTGCATCAATAAATCAGAAAGACAGTAATTATGTTTAATTAATATGTGACTGCAGTTTTAAAATTGATAATTAAATTGTCTTTCTGTCTAAAGAAGATTTTACTATTAAAAAATGTTTAAGCAAATCAAATCAAGGTTCATTAACTTATTTAATTTTTTTATTTTGTCTAATCTAGCCTAATCCAAACTTCGTACTCGTACTAAAGTGTCAAAAAGCTTAAACGTTTCAATTTGTTGATTTGCCCGTATATCCACTTATTTGTCTGTGGTCCTCGAAGAGACACCAAATTGTTTCTCTTCGACGATTTTTAAGACGCTAATTAAAACCTCTTAGCTTACCGTGCATAAAAATGCTACAATCTTTCTGGAACATTATTTATTTAAATGGCCAATTGGAGTTATATGTACTTTGATCTATTCAAGTTAATAAATATTATATCCATATTTAGGTTTCTGTGGTTAATGGGATTATCACTGACTATATCTATTCAAAATAAACTGAGAGCTCTTGTACCAAGACGACTTATGGTTTTTCAAATAATTAGACGAACTCTTATACTGATTCTTCTCGGATTTCTACTGAATTCAAACAAAAATTTGTCGACAATCGCCGATCTTCGAATACCTGGTGTACTTCAGAGAATTGGTTTGACGTATATGTTTGTAGGGCTAATAGAAGTTTGCTTTATTAAAAGATCTGAAACTGAGGTAAGTTAGGTCTTTTTTTTTAATATTATTCACTATCAGTTACTTATTATAAATTCTATAAGAAAATTTGAGGAAGCAAACTACTCGTCCATAACATTATTTGTTAATAATATTTTTCTCAACGGCAAAGTTTAGTCACTCTTGAATCTCTTACATCTAAAACCATACTAATCATCTCCTAAGATAACTTCAGTAGTCAAAGTCTTTTACCCACTACCTGGTCGATCATTTTAATCCCAAAATGCAGTAATGACATCGCCCTATAGTGTGAATCATTTAGAATATCCTTTCTTACATAGAGAGGCTATAATATTGCGATATGTCATTTTCAGACATTTCTCCTACATTTCAGATGCCTATTGTTATCTTTTTCATTTTTGTAAATTTTTTGTATATTAAAATAGTTATCCAAGAATGTATACCTACCGAACTATCAAGAACCTTTCTATTGGAAAAAATAAATCATATAAAATTTAATTTGTTACTATTTTAGACAACTAACTGGGCATCAGACCTCCTTTCGTCATGGCCCCAATGGATAGTAATATCATCTTTAGTTTTTGTTCACACCTGTGTAACTTTTCTTACCGAAGTTCCTGGTTGTGGCAAAGGTTATATAGGGCCAGGTGGATTGGAAGATGGTGGAATACATTATAATTGTACAGGAGGTGTAGCTGGATATATTGATCGACAACTGTTTGGAAATCATTTGTATTCAGATAACAATTTGGAGAAAGTATATGAAATTAAAGACAAGTTTGATCCCGAAGGTAAGAAATAATAAACGTATTTTTATTCGTTCATTTTCTTGAAAATAAAACTAATATATATGTTGTGAAACATACATTACATACCTTTCTATTGAAATTTCATTCACTTATCTGTTGAAACTTTATTCCATTAAAATAGATTTAAGAAACTAAGAACTTACAATAATTCGAAAGGTAAAACAAAAAAAATTGTAAAGAAAATTAAAAATATATAAATGTATAAAACCTGTTGCCCCTTTAATAACGACCTAAAATACATTGTAACTGATATTTGTAAAATATTCTCTTTCTGGGCCGCTTGTAGCCAGTTTCCCGCTATACGTTTTATATTATCGGTCCATCTAGTCGGTGGCCGTCCTCTGCTTCTTTTATAGTTTCTGGGCCTCCATTCCATAATACGTCTTGTCCACCGTCCATCTTGTGTTCTGGCTAAGTGCTCTGCCCAGTTCCACTTAAGTGTAGTGGTTCTTTCGATGACGTCTTGAACTACTGATATTTGCGTGATCTGTTGGTTATAATAATGTTAATACAATAATATATGTAATAAGACTTAGTCGACCTAATAGATCTAATCATTACCCAGTTAGATAATATCTGATTGGGATATTATAAAATCTACTACATTGTCATATTATTTGCAAAATAGTTCAATATTTTCCTACATTTATTTCTTATTTGATATATTGGATATTATTATTCATAACAAGACAGTAAATTATTTTCTAAAATTGAACCACCAACAATTTTAGGTTTTCTTGGAACATTGACATCCATCCTTACTGTATATTTGGGCGTTCAAGCTGGAAGAATCTTAAGAACGTATGAAGGCGTTAGAGGAAAAATGTATAGATGGATAGCCTGGGGCATTATACTTGTAAGTACAACAGATACTTGTAATATTTTAGTTAGATATTCATAAAATGCAAGTAAGTCTGTTTTAAAATATTATTTGTCAACCTAATATCAAGAAGGGCAGGGCCTTACCCGCCCTTCTTGAAATCTTGTTGTTGTTTGTCTGTGCGAAAAATCGTGAATGAAAAATCCTAGAAATGTTAAACTTGTAAAAATACACAGAATGATAGATGGAATGATGACTGGTGGAAGATCAGCACACTGCACAAACCAATTTAAATATTATCGATTAATTATCTTAAATATGCTTATTTGGTTATTTTATTTGTCAAACGACAATGTGGGTGCTCAGAAGCCTCAACAAGCTCTTGAAAACAAGCAGGAATTACTTTTTATTATGGTTATTCTAGGTTTAAATTCTTTTCTGTTGTGGTTCACATTTTTATAAAATTTTCGCGCTTCGCTTTGTGAATTGAGCCTTTCTAATTCCTGTAGCTGGTTTTTTAAATGTCGTTTTTCTTTTGTTTTAGTATCTTTTTCTTTGCTTGTCTCATCTGTTTGTACTCTGCTTGATTTTGTCTTATCCTTCTGTTTTGGAGTTTCCCATACGCCTGATTCTTTTTTTGAGTTGCCTGTGCGCATTCCGCATCATACCATTCTGTCCCCTTCCTTTCTTGTTTCTTCTTTCCTAAAACTGTTGTTGCTACTTCTTTCAGGATATTTTCGCACTAATTCCAGTAATTATCTATGTTTTCAACAGTACTACTCATTTGGTCTTCTAGTTTTTCTTTTGTTTGTGTTCAAATTTTCTATCTCAGGATTCCGTAGTCTGTCCGCCACGAATTTATCTTTTGTTTCCTTTACCTTTTTTGCGTTAGATATCCGTGCCCTTAGTTTAGCCTGGACCAGGTAGTGAACGGAGTCAATGTTTGCTCCACGTCTGGTACATACATTCATAACATCGCTGTAATGTTTTGCGTCCACAACATGGTCAATTTGATTGATTGTGCTACCATCTGGGCTAACCCAATTGCCTTTGTGTATATTTTTACGCTCAAAACATGTGCTGGCTATCACCATATTCATTGAGGCCCCAATGTGTATTAGGCGTGTTCCGTTGTTGTTCAACTTGTTATGGGGGCTATATTTTCCAATGGTGGGTAGGTAATCGTTTTCTTATCCTATTTTGGCGTTGAAATCTCCAAGTACTAGTTTTATATTTTTTCTAGGGCAGTTCCGTATTATTTCTTCCAGTTTTTCGTAAAATTCATTCTTTTATTTGTCTAGCTTATCTTCTGTAGGTGGATGGGCATTAACTACTGAATATTTGAAAAATTTTCCCCTAATTCTTATTTTGCATGTTCTGTCGCTTATGGCTTTGAAGTCTTTTACTAGGTGTTTCACTCTGCTGCTGACTATGAATCCTGTTCCAAGTTTATGCTCTGTTGGGTGGCAGCTACAGTACATTGTGTATTTTTTTTCTCGAATATTTTTTCCCAACCACCTTCTTGAAGCGTTATGATGTCTATGTTATATTTATCCAGGATGTCAAGGAGTTCCCGCAATGCTCCAGTTCTATATAAGGATCTCATATTCCACTTACTCAATTGTAACTCTTTGTCGTTTTTCTCGCCAAGTCGTCTAGATTTCAGTCCGGAAACTTTACCTTGAATTCTCGTAACATGTTGTTTTTTACGGTATCGGGGTGTTAACCCTACGCCCAACCCCCAATCTGGAGCACCAGTTCACCCGCTCTCGTCAGTTTTCAACCCAACTTTCCACCCGGGTTGGATACCTGATCTCCAGTTGGGCTGCTCGGTTTAACAGGTGGCACCAGCGTGAAGATGAGAGTCTGATTTGAGTAGAAGAGGCTAAGTGGAGTAAATAGGAAGCAACTCCATGTTGTCTCATTCTGCCCCTTTTAAAATCAAATAGCAATATTATATTGTTTATATATTGTTTATAAGTTAATAATGACGTTTAATCTTTTGCATACTTTGGTTATTACATACTGTTATCATCAAATTTATCAAAAGCAGTTGTTAGATACTTGTATCAACGAGTGTCATGGGAAAATCATTAGTTCCTTGGTTTAATCATTACAAAGCATTGGCCGCAAAAACCTACATTCGTTGACTTTTGTTTTGCTGATTTAAAAATTTGTTTACTTAGAAATGTAGGCTTTTACCACTATTTCTTCTTGATGCTTCGTCTGCAAGTGCTGCAGATATTATCGAACTCTACACGGGGGTTATGTCTAATGTCTATGCCCGTCCCCACATCGTTTTGGTAATGTCTATCGCAGTTGCAGACAAAACGTTAAGCAGACACAATTTCAGACCACTGCTCATAAATCTCTAATACAAGTTACCATTAAAAAACCAATTACAATTGTTTCCTTGGTAACTAACATTTATATTTTATTATTTATTTTTTTTTGCAGGGACTTCTTGGTGGAGGTCTTTGCACGTTCTCTATAAACGACGGCCCCATTCCGTTGAATAAGAAACTCTGGTCTCTTTCATACACATTTGTAACAGCTGGTATGGCGTTCCTAATTCAAGCTGGTCTATACTTATTTGTAGACATTTTAAGGAAATGGGGTGGCAGGCCGTTGTTCTACCCAGGCATGAATCCCATCATTGTCTATGTTGGACACGAGCTCATGAAAAATACGTTTCCATTCGGATGGAAGCCGACAGTTATCACCCATGGTACCTATCTATTTATGAATTTATGGGGCACGTTCTTATGGTTTTGTATTTCAATTTGGATGTACAAGCATAACATATTTTTCAAAATATAAAAGTCGAGTTTGTGATATAGTTATAATGTATATAAAGTTGTTTATTGTTAATAACCACTGATTATTTCTAAATAGATATAGCATTGACTGATCAGCGTTTTAGAAATAGGGTATATTTTCTTTATTTTTAGCATAGGTTGATAGTTTTATACCATTTAAACGGAAGGTATTTAAAATTACATTTATTTTTAAATAATAAAACTTTCGGTTAAAACAATAATATTCTAATTTTTATTAATTTGGTACAGAGCTTTATTGAATTTTTTAGTTTTGTATTCAATTGAAGGCATCGTTTAGTTTCGTCTTATGAAATGTACTGTATAGCTTACCGTCTTTAAAATCTTCATCGGTTGTACTTTTATGCAGTGTGACCCATTTAAATCAATACATCTATAAAATTTGAAGTTGTTAAACAATTTTAACAATTTTTTTTGTTATGTAATATAAGATATACTTCGGGACATAATTTAAATTGTGTATTCAAATTTCCAGGACATACTTTTATTAGTCGAAAATAAAGAGTTTTATTATGACAAACTATGACAAAAATGTCCTTAATATTTCTTTACATCTAAGTTATGACAACGCGTATGAAGCTATGCGTCAAAAAAAGAACACCCAGTATCAACTGTCTGTCAGTTGTCTTTACCAATCCGCTATCTAATTGGATACATTTGCCGTAGCGCTTACGAATATTTCTAATTACATTTCTTAACTGTTGGAGAGTAATTTCATATTTTTTTTTTGAGCCTATTCTCTATCCTTCCATTGTTGGATATAGGTCTCCCCCAGTTCTCTCCATCTTTCCCTATCTTGAGCTGTTCTCTGCCATGTGGGACCTCCTTGTTTCCTGATGTCATCTTTCCACCTCATATGTGGTCTGCCTCTTGATCTCTTTGCATTGTATGGACGCCAGTTTCTGATGGCATTGTTCCATCGTCCGTCTTGGAGACGTTCATTGTGTCCAACCCATTTCCATTTCAGTTTTGCTGCTTGTTCTATCGCGTCTACTATCTTTGTTCTGGTTCTGATCCACTGGTTACGTTTTCTATCTCTAAGTGATACACCCAACATTTGTCTCTCCATTGCTCTCTGTGCCTTCCTTATCCTATCCAAATTGGCCTGTGTAAATGTCCATGTCTGTGCTCCGTAGGTGAGCACCGGTATTATACAGGAGCTATATACCTTGCTTCGTAAGTATAGAGGGATTGTTTGATTTTTTAGAACGTAAGAAAGTTTGCCGAACGCTGCCCATCCCATTCTTACTCGTCTCGATATTTCGGCTGTTTGATTTTCTCTGTTAGCTCTGATTGCTTATCCTAGATAGATATACTCATTTACCTGTTCTATTTTTCTGTTTTTATTTTTATTGCCTCTTGGTCTTCCGTGTTTGTCATTACTTTTGTTTTGTTGAAGTTAATTTTAGGCCTTTTTGCCGTGATTTTTTATGAAGTTCATTCAGCATTAATTCCAGTTCTTGTCGTTCCGAGGAGATCAGGAGTATATCATCCGCATATCTAAGGTGATTTAGGTATTTTCCGTTAATACATATTCCTCTGTTTTCTCAATCTGTTGATTTTATTATGTTTTCGAGGGTCAAGGTTAACAGTTTAGGTGAAATTATATCGCCTTGTCGGACTCCTCGTTTAACTTTTATATTATCCGTTATTAATTTGTCGTCCAGAATTACGGTCATGGTTGCGTTTTGGTAAATATCATGTATCAATTGTCGGTGTCTTGAATCTATTCTCCTATTGACCAGAGCTTCTTCAACCGCCCAGTGTTCAATGCTGTCGAAATCCTTTTCATAATCTACGAATGCTAAGTACAGCGGAAGGTTGTATTCATTGGTTTTCTCAATTAAGATTTTAAGCGCATGTAGATGGTCGATTGTGCTGTATCCTTTCCTGAATCCGGCCTGTTCCACTGGTTGGTAGTTATCAAAATTATGTCCCATATGGCTGAGAGGGAAAGTTCCTGCAGATATGCAGGACAGGTACGAATAAGGCATTGCCAAATAAGTACCCGCGGATCAACTGAGGATATGACATTAGGCAGCAGTAATGTCATTACTGGATTAAGGCTATGGGAAGTAAAAATTCTGTAGGCTTAATTCCAGATAATCACAGGCGTTACTCACATTATGAGTTAAGCGGCTGTGATACTGCGACAACAGCAGCGTCTGACCCAGAGTGGGCGGCTGCAAATAGCGTCTGTTCCCAGAGTGGGCGGCTGAAACACACTTACCAACCCGTCTGACCAGCGTGGTGAGTTCACAGCCAATCTACCCCCCTCTTAATAATTTCATATATGCTTGTCGAATTCTTACACGAAATTCATTTACTTCTCTTGAACTGATTCGGTAAAACTTTATTTGATAACTGCCCTGAGAAAGTAGTTATACATTGTGAGATCTAGGTAGACAATCTATCAACGCACTATCACGGTCTATCCAACTTCCACGAAATTGTGGGAAAGTTCTTTGAGTTCATGTTTTTCCCAAAGAAGAAAGGACCGATAGTTCGCTAATTCATTATATTTATGATTGATTACATTAATATTTTGAGAATACTGGCTTTTAGAGTTTATTACGACTGGGGATTATCTGCTGTCTAATAGCGACAATTTTGTGATGGTGTTACTCCATTTGTAGTTGATTTCGTTGGTTAACACCAGATTTGTTAGAAAACTGATATCGGTTAAATATTTCAGTTGACTTTTTGCTAGTTGAAAATGAACAATTTTTATTAGCGATTTCTTTATTTAAAAAAATTCTACGCCACTGGATTAAGGATGGCTTTTCTTGGTTAATAACTTAAAATTTTCAGAGATGTTTACAATCTAAATGGGCCACGCTATATAAGAAGTTACGAGCTAACAAGGGTAAACTAGGTTTAGGGATGTAGTGATAAACAAAATTCGAATAGTTTCTGTTTCCTCATTTTTTTCTAATTGTTGTGTTATTTGTGCTTATTTAGTTTTGGAACCTCACACCAAAATTTAAAGCCGAAGTAAAGTTGATGGCAGCGTATATCCCACTATCTAGACTTGTTTTACACCAATACTATAACAATTTTCAATTGAAGGTGATTCATTGGCAACATCGCACTTAAAGCGACCCATCGATATTTCTATTATCAACTTTGCAGAGGCGTACCAAAATACTATTTTAATTATTTATTTAAACACATAAGTAATTAGGTAAAAATTATATCTAAGACCGATCATTATTAAATTATCATGTGTGATTTGACAGGTATCTTGTAGCTGTCTATTAAAATAAAGTAACATTTTATTGTTATTATAGAGTGCCTAATACAGCACTTAAAAAATAGACATCTTTTTGCAAAATAAGTATCATATTCCATTTATATAGGAGAATTACAAAGCAAAGAAATAATTAAGTTATGCTTATGAAGTTTCGGAATCCAGCGACTAGTCCGAGGATAAATCTCTTGACACTTAAGTCTATTCTTCTTCTTTATGTGCCGTCTTCTACCGAAGGTTGGCGACCATCAAACGATAGGTTTCTCTGTTTTGTGCCGCATGAATTATGTTCGCAGCTTCTGGTATTTGAAACCATTCTCTCAAATTTCTCAGCCAGGATTTCTTCTTTCTCCCCAAACCTCTTCTACCTTCAATCTTGCCTTCTACGATAAGTTGTAGCAGACTGTACTTATCATTACGGAACACATGACCCAGGTATGACGCTTTCCTCCTTTTAACAGTTAACAGTTAACAATTGCACCTCTTTACCCATTCGTCTTAATACCTCTATGTTGGTCACTCTGTCTGTCCAAGGTATTCTCAGTATGCGTCGATACAGCCATATTTCTAGAATTTATTAGAATTTACTTCTGACGTTTAACATTGTTGCCGTTAGCTATCAGTTCAATTTGTAGAGGAGTCACTTTCAACTGAAAATTGACATAGTGTAGGTAAATTTCCAATTTACTGGTTAGCTAAATAACTCTTGTGTTACAGTCGAGCACAGAGTCAGTGCTACACACACCGATTGTGTGCCCTCTAAAATAATTTTGATACTTCACAACTAAACTTTATTAATTCTTGAAACCGAATATATAAAACGAATTAAGCTAATATATTAAAATTACCGAAAATGCCAGAGATTAATTTACATACAATACTTATGAGATGAAACATGGTTTTTACCAAAAGCCATTGAGCGCTTAGTACTACTTATTTAGTTTCCTACAAGGAGTAAGTACCGAAAATCAGATATAGGTTTGTTTGATTTTTGTTGAAACAGGTGTCCACAAAATGTGATAATTGCTTTGTAGCGTATTTCCAAAAGAATAATATTATTTTAAAAGCTAATTAAATATTTTTTAAATCTACTAAAAAGTTTAATTACGATTATTTATTTACAACTTTTATTAATATTTACATAAATACTTTATAGAAAACTGTCTTGAAACTTAAATTAAGTATTTCTCCTGAATTTACTTAAGATACTTTTTTTAATTATTACGTATGTCTTGAAATTTCTCGAATAATTAATTAAAATCTCTGGTAAATCTTTTATTTACCATATTTTACCAGGTCCTTCAATTCCACCATTGCCAAAACTCATTTCTGAGCAAGCGAATCTGTCATAGAAAAGGATGATTTTTTTCTTTCAAGCCGGGTCCATTTTCACTAATGCTTGCTTTCAGTTTCATCAGAAATTCAACCTAGCATTCTCCGGTTATGGTTTTATCTCTTTGCAGAAAGCCGGCCAAATACCAATACCATGAACTGTCTCGCCGGCGGTTGTGAAATGCTGCCTCATTTTCTTCGGAACTGCAAAACCGGCTCCCGTCCACAGCTTAGAGTACCATTTGGTTTCGGTTGAGTAATAGCACCGAATATAGATGCTTATAGAACGCTAATGCTTAACCAAAATGTGTTCCTTGATTCAGACGGTGCCGGAGTGTACACAAAAAAAAAACTATAATGTTTGTAACCCGGCCGATAGAGGCGCTGATATAGTCAATTTTTGTGAAGTTCATAAACAAACTTCTGGAATTGGTTTTAATCGATCTGGTCTTTGACCAGATCCACAAGAATAATAATTGTGTGTTTGGTCAGCGCCTC